GATGGTTGCAAGACAAGGGACTCCTGAATAATCCCTTTAGGCGCCTGGGCCTTGGGAGAACAGGTATGCAAACTACAGAGATAAGGAGGCTGCAGGATAATCTGAAGACCCCTGCCGAGAGATGCCAAACAAACATGTGCGATGGACATTACCATATATTAATGAATTCTCGGAAAAGGCATTACTATGATAAACATTTCTTGGAAATGTAATGAATATGTATGTTAACATAGCATAAATACCTAGTAACTGTGTCTCTTCGGTGCACACGTTTGGAGGAGAGATCCCCCGTGTGCCCGGCGCCGCAATAAAGAATACCTGCTTAATAGTCTGCCGACTATTGAGTCTTCAGTTCCGGCTTTTCACGGCATCATCAGGCTCTCGGAACACCCTCCTCCCCAGCAGCGATGGCAGCACCCCACTGTCCCTGCAGCTGGGACATGTCTGCATTCCCAGTGGCTCTTTCCTTCCTCAAGTTCTTTTTCATTAACTGTATTTCACAAGCTTTTAGCCCAAGATCACATTTATACAGAAATTACTATTCTTGTCTATAAATTCTTAGGCAATTTAAAAAAAATAGAACCATAGTTCTTACTACTTGAAAGTAAAGGTGCGAGAATTCTGTTGTGATTATTTGTTAAAGGGTAACCTACTCTGCTCTGCAGATAAGAAAACTTAGCTCTTACCTTTTTCCTGCATTCACACACTACACTATCCAGCTCTTCCTGCATAACACGTAACTTTGCCTTAAGAAATCTGATTTGAGCTTCTGTGAACATAAAAAGTTACATTTAGTATTCACAAGTACTCATTATTCAATGCAGAAAAGAAGCAAGACTGATGTAAGAACTATCATCTTCTTGTCTTTAAAAACACAGTACGTTGTTTATAATTATTAAAGAGAAACAGGCAAATAAAAACTCAGATTTCTAAATAAATGTTGCAAGTTTCTCATTCTTAGGCAAAACTTTGTACAGATTTTTCCTTTCAATGTCTGAACTCGACATCTTTAAAATGTAAAAGACTCCTAATTCTCAAAATTGAAAGTTATTGGAAACTGTCATCATACTATGCTATACATTACAGCATTCCTTGAGATTGAAGGCAAGAAAATTATATTGTAGGGTATGTCTACATTGCAATCAAGCTGTAGCTGCAATTTGTGTAGTCACACCCAAAGTAGTTTTAAACTGCTCACAACAAGGAATTAAATGTAGACTGCAAAACCCTCCTAACAGGTGAATACCCCTCCCACACAGTAGCCTATGCTTGTTTAAAATACACTGCTAACATTACTCAATTAATAGTTTAAAATTAAACCAATGTAATAAGTTGTTTTTTCCAAATGAAGCACTTTCTTGCTCTCGGACAGCTAAGAAACATACTACTGTCATGACACACCAAACTATGTGTGACCAGTATATTCTTTCACTCCCTGTTCCCCACCCTTTCCCCAGTTCATTCACAAGAAGCACCCCCCTGAACTTCCACAGGCACAAAGCATGGAAACAGCATGAGGATCAAGTCGAGAAACACAGGAATAACCATTATTCACAGTAAATACAACGGGAAAAGCATCAACTGGAGGAGGAGTATCTGGAGCTGAACATGAAGGGATGGATGGGTACATGTGTTCATTTGCTGTAATACGAATTCTTTTTATTTCACCCACCTTCTCTTATCAACTGTCAATTGCAGCTTAAGTTGTAAGTCTGCAGAGGCCAGTAATAAGTAGGATTTAGGAAAACACCGTGAAAAAATAAGATTCAGACTGACTTTTTTCCTCCTGTTACATCTTTGCTAGCTTCTGATAACTAGTGGCTGTCCTGAGATGGAGACCATATTGACACCATCAAGTTTCATACTCTTTCATGTACTTGTACACTATTAAGTTGTTTGATTTGCTTCATAAAACATATTGTAGTTTCGCATTCACAATATCCTGTGGCACTGAGTTGGCTAATTTAATTATGCACTATGTGAAAGAAAAACACTTTGTATAGCTTGCTTTAAATCCAATTTAATGTGACATTTACTGGTGTTTGCAGTACAAAAAGACAGCTTTCCCTTTACCATTACTGTTTTCATTACACAATCTTTCATATTGCCCTCAGTTGTTTTGTTTTCAAACTGAAGGTTCAAATTCAAGTTGTTCCACACTTCTAGTTGTTACTATATACTCTTTCCTGTATCCTTCCTAGTTCTGCATCCTGGGTTTGAGATGGGGTGTGCAGAACTGTCATGCTCAAGATGGGGTAGCATCAATTATATATTACATATATTGTACAACAGTACAATATTTTGTTTTCTGTTATCTTCTGAAGGATTTCTAACAGTCAATTTGCCTTTTCCACTGTGAACAAGCAATAAGTTTGTGCTTTTGAAGATGTCTTCATTAGTAAAAACTAAACGAAGTCCAACTCAGAAGTAGGTGTAATTGGAGTTGTTTTGTCTATCAGCATTACTTTGTACTCTTTAATGCTGGATATAATCATCCATTCTATCACTGCACTCAGTACCACGACATTCTTCTACAACAGTCAGTTGAAGAAAGTTGTAGAAGAAAATGTCAGTTTTAACTATCCTAAAATCATTGTTTCATATATACATTTCTTTACCAGCTATCGTTCCTTTTTTCCAGATTATTTTTCTGTATATTGAACAATGTAAGCTCCATGACAGATTACTCTAGGACTATACCACTACCTGCAAAAACTGGTTGTTTCTTTTTACCATTTTGTTTCTGCTTTTACTCAGTTATTAATCCACAGACAACTTCTCTTCTGTCTCAGACAGCTCTGTGTCATTAAGAGCACCTAGTAGTAAAGTGTGTTGAAAATCCAAGAGCACAACTAGAACCAGATCAGCCTTAGGAGATGGCTATGATCAAAAATTAGTTTGAATTCTCACAAGAGGTAAAGATAATTAAACAATTAGCTTCCTAACTGGTCAATTTTTATCACCTGATAAGGCTGATAAGGGGGAGGGGTATCACTTAATAGGATGGTCTTAGATTATAAAGTAACTGACAGTTTAAGGAATGGTAAACAAGAAATTGACTTCTGAGAGACTCTGATGCTCTACAAGGAAGGATAGGTGTTTTGAACTCCTGAGATAATCTGAAGATTAACATGAAGCACAACAACACATTCAGGTATTTTGCTCATATGTGTGAGGGTATATTAGATAAAAATTGAGCTTCACCTTCAGCTTTCTACATGTGCTTCTATTATTGCTTGTAACTGCAGAGTTCAGTTACAACCTACAAAAACAGCCTGAGAAAAATAATGTGTAAGCTACTGTGTTGGCAGAAAAATGGCTGCACTGCAATAACCTGTGATCATGAAAGAAAGATATGGAACTGAAGTTCAGGAAAAGCACTGTAAGAAGCTCAAGGAAAGGGTGATGCTATGGAACACTACCAGCACATTGGCCTAGAAAGTCTAGCACAGGCACGTAAGCCTAAGGAGTTCCCTACTAGGATATGCCCGCTAAGCAATCAGCCCGCTCTGTAACAGGGCCTGTTTAGTACCTACGTCTACTTCTTTGTGAAAACTGTAACTGTTCTGGGAGTTTGGCGCTGCTAGCATGCTCTGCAATAACTTATTTAGCATATTAAGGAGGCATTCACAGTGTTCTAAATAGTCAATAACAAATTTAAAAAGTAAAATATCAATCCAGAGTATTTTAATTTTATTTCCTTGTTAAAGTTACAGGAACAATTCTCAATACTCAAATACATGCCCTTGGTCGACAAGACCGGATTTATTAGACACCAATAATAACTTGAGTTACCTTGAAAGTTTTGGTGTAAACTTTCCATGGAGTCCAAAGTAATTCCTTCTTAGTTTGGGAACAAAAAGTATAAAAAAAGTATCTGAGGATCTGTTTTTGGAGACTTAGCAACAGAAGACTTGCATAGAATTACATGGGTTAGAAATCAAGCTACTTCTGTGTTGGCATGCTTGTTGACACCAAGCTGTGAGATTAAAAGAAGTGGTTTTGGGAATTTTGTACTACTGCAGTGAATCTCTGACTTCATGCTTGCTTTAGCATTGTAAGAAACTACTTAAACCCTCTTTTATCACACCAGAGCCAAGAAGACAGATGTGCATCATGCCTTTAGCTTTGCTGCCTATACTGCAATTCCCTTTCCTACTATATTTCCAGGACAAACATAAACACACCATTTGGAGTGGGAAAGTATCTGGAGGATTCTCACTCAAGCACTGTTGCTGAAACACTACTTCATTTAAGCCACTTACTAAGATCCACAGCACTGATCTGAGGAAAGGCTTTTTCCTCTAAAGGCAGCATCTGCGCAAAGGGCTGAAGCTTAGCTTTTTGGAAATACAAGCTTAGCATCATGTATTTCTGTTTCCCCAGTGAAATGAATCAAATGCTATGCACACACTCAACATATGTAACCATCCAAATGTCTTCCTACAAAGGTGGAAATCAAGATAAAAATTCACTTTTCCCCATGATTAGTCAAATGTGACCAGATCTTTCTCTAGGACTACATAAAGAAAACCTTCTTTTCCTTTAACTTAAGGGCTTTAGAATTTTCCCTGTAATTTCTACAGAAACTGTTCCTTTTTTCTGCAGAAGAGCCCACTTATAACTGTCAGGAAGAATGGAAGTACTTAACCATTAGAGGAAACCTACCTGCTCCAATTTCATTT